AGAAAAACTCGGTACAACTCTGTATTTCTAGCAAATATCAAGTTTTTCTAGAAAAACTTGGTAAGAAAAAACTCAGTACAACTCGGTATTTCTCGGTATTACTCGGTATTTGTCTTCACAGAGCGGTATTTCTCGTTATTGTCAAGTAATACCTAGCAATACCGAGCAAATATCGAGTAATACCTCGCAATACGCGAACATAGCATTCCCGGGTTCCGGTCCGGGTCAAGTCGTTGGGCTGTGCGGTAAATAGTAAGAGCACGTGGCGATATGTTATTGGCGACCAAACGTAGCTCTACGTCCGGTCAGATGACGTAATAATTGTTCTAAATGTTAGAGTTAATTTGCAAAGATGATTTCGTAGAATTAATGACATGAAGTTTAGAGGTTAATGGCTTTAAAAATGATATTTAGAAATTCAAAAGGTTGAACTAAGATATTAGAGATTAAATTTTTGAGCTTTAAAAGAAAATAAAATGGTATTGTAAGTGTTAAATATTTTCAATATTCTTTTAAAATGATCTCAGAAGTATTAAGTATTTTTAAAGAGGTTTATGTAATGAATATTGATTTAGGTTTTTCTCTTATTTTCCTCTTTGAATTAATCTCCATAATAAAATAATATTTATGAATATATATGCAAATAAGATCTTTAAATAAAGTTACATAAAGCAAATAGGACAACTACTAGGTAATGATCCTCATTTGTATTATATTAATAAATTACTAATGACCTGTTAATGACCAAACAAAACTAAAAGGAAATTCTTACATGTCTGAAAATTTTGCATGCAGCACTATGACGCATAGCTTGTCATAACACTGTCCTCTTTTTTCTTTATATCCTTTAATGTTTTTTATTACTAATTTTCAACTTAGATTTCTTTAAGTATACACATCAACCATGATAAGAAACCTAATGATAACGAGATACTGATCAAAATTGGCCCTTGACTCTTTGCGAAAGATCAAAATAGTCCCAAACTATTTAGAAGTCTCATTTTAGTCCCTTGACTTTTTAAATAGAGACCTAAATGATCGATTAATTTGGTCCTTATTTAACGAGTCAAAGGACCAAATTGATACTTTTATACAATTATGAATTATTTTAGCCCTTCAAAAAAAAGTTAGATGATCAATTCGATCATTTTCATAATGAATAACATATACTTATAGATATTTAATATGTTAGCGTGTATTTTCACTTTAACACTCAATTTCTGGCTCTCTTTCTTTTTAAAGAATAATTCAAACAATTAGATTTCTCTTTTCTTATCATATATATTCACTTTTTGTTACTTCATATATAGTTAGACTACTAGGTATATAATTAGAACTCCCAATAAGATAGTGGAATCCAAAGGAGAGGCTTAAAGATGGATTTTGGAAGTTTGGATTGAACAAATATAAATTTATTGGCCTATTGACTCTCTTCATTCTTTCTCAGCAACATTAAGGTTTCATTTGGAACAACTTTTGGCCATTATTTTTTCGTTGCTTTCAAAAAATTTTTGCATTAAAATGCTATTGAAGAAAGCAGAAAGAAAATTGTTCCAAACGAAACCTTAATGATAATTAGAAACCTTCAACACTTACAAACTAAAAGGTTTTGCACACATCCTTGTCTTACAAATAGATAGCAATATAGCATGTGATGAACAGTTCCCACTAATTTGAATACTCATAAAATATATTGTAGGGTGAAATAGATGCTTAATAAATCATATGATAATTTGTAATCTCTTTAATAAAAGTTTTGTATAATTTATAATAATAGAAAGATTGAAAATTCATTTTGACTAATTATAAACTTTACTTGTGCTAGATCTTTGTGCGCGCAAATGTTTATGTGCTCAACATGTTGGTCATTATTGCAATAGCTTTGTGTATGACTTAAAAACTCTTGAATATTTTACTACTATGCGACATAAACTTTTATAACCAATTCAATGTCCATAAAGGCCAAATGACAAAGATTAACTATTAATTTATTTTTTAAGTGTGAATAAAATATCTTGTCACACTTCCTTAGTCATAAAGTTTTTCAACTATGATTAAGATTTAAAAGGGTAAAATAATAAGAATATGTACAATTTTCAGCTCAATGACAAAATTGATGGCCAAAAGACCAACTAAGCATACAAGCCAAGTTTGAGTCAATTCGACTCGTGAACTAGCTCTAGCTCGGCTCGATAAATGAGTTATGAGCCAAGGTCTATGAGCTAACATATAAGCCAAGTTTGAGTCAGCCTTGACTCGACTTGTTAGCTCGTCAGCTCATTTAAAAAATATTAATTTAAATGCACTTAAAATATATTAGAATTCAATAGCTCAAATATGAAGCAATCAAGAATATTTAAATATCTCATTTACTTATAACAAGTTATTCTTTATTATTTATCTTCTAATTAATTTCTCATTCATTTTATATGGTTATTATAATAACTACTTGAATCATAATCGTTTTTTTTTTAATCTCTTATTATAAACGAGTTGCTCGAAATCAAAGAATTAATCTGTAGCTTAAACTCAGACTCAATTAATTAATCAATATGAAGCTCAAATTAAGGGTGACTCGAGTTCAGCTCGACTCGTTTACACCCCGAAGTAATAGTATTTTTCTTTGAACAATAGCTTTGAATTTTAGCACAATTAAGATTTTTGCAATATTATTATTTATCACTTCTTTGTTTTGTGAGATGACACATCATAGATAAAATAAAATAAATACCATATAAATTTGGGTACATAAGCTGTAAGAAAAAGAATGGGCTTTTAATATGTTGATTGTTCATATATGTTTGCCAGTTAATAGGCTGCCTTTGTTGATACTTAGTTGAATTTCATTTGAATATCCAAAGGGTTAGAGAATGCTTCAAATTTCTCGGCTAAAATCTGTCTCCTTTGCATATGACCAATGTTGAACTATTCGTTTTGTATATGAAGTTTGAAAGATGAATTCTTCAATGATTTGCTACGCTTCATTCATGACCAAGTGAAAACAAAGGGAAAAGTTTGAACTGTTATGCAATTGGTGTTCCCATAGGTGTATAGAGGTTAGATGTTCCCGGTAGCGACTCATTGAAAAAACGGAAGGGGTAGACAAAATTTTAAAGACAAGTATGAATAAGGGAGTGTTGGGGATGGCTGCAACGTTTCATAAAGTTGGTTCTGAAGTTGTTGTAGTAAAAGTAACTTAGGTTTCATTTGGAACGATTTTCTTACTGCTTCTTAAAATAATTTTATAGTACAAAAATTTTAACTTTTTTTACTAGAAAGCTGCTTTAAGAAGCAGTAACAAAGTCGTCCCAAGCAAAACCTTAGTTATTACGGTTGCAAAAAGTAAATTTTCAATACATAAGTTTTTTAAAAGTAGCGAGAAAACAACAAGAAAGAAATAGCCAAATGAAATTATGGTAATTGTCTGAAGAGCAAAGTATTGATAAAGCTGTCCCAAACATACATTAAGGTTGTATTTGAACTTTAGTAATTTGAATTAAAAAATAAAAGAGAAAAAAATAAAAATCTCAATTGAGTGACTATTGATTCATATTCAAAATTTGATTTTTTTAGACTTAATATTATTTTCTTTAGCACAAATATGATGCAGTAAAATGAGTGTCAAACTCATTAGTCAATCAAATAATTGAGATAAGGACGATTGTTGGCTTCGTGTTTTCAAACAATTCTAATAAGATAGTGAAATTCATTAGACCAATGAAGTTATAATGACTTGAATTGACCAAATATGTGATCATATGGATCAACCAATGACCCTATAAGCTTCAATCAATCAAGCTTCATTGTATAAGCATACACAAATAGAGGATTCATTTGGGAGGGCTTTCATTCTGCTTCTTAAAGTAGCTTCTTAGTACAAAATTTTTTGGAAAATGCTTTAAGAAGCAATAACAAAGTTGTCCCAAGCGAAGCTTGAGTCAATGCTAAATGAAAGGTAGAAAATATATAGTGATTCGACTCAAAGGACCCTATATCCATTCCTCGATAGTTCTCCTAGTTCAATCCTTCATGAATCACAAGTAGAGAAACCTAATGCTTCCTCTTAAAGGAGAGAGAAGTAGGCCATTCCTATCATATATTGCTAGGCCGTGATAAATTAGTAGAATACATTTGGGATTCTAACACCAAATTTTCACAACTCACAAAACTCTTAAGATAAATATTAGTATAATCATATATCTTTTAGAGAGGAAGGAGTGAATTTTAGTGTAGAAAGCATGCATTAACTTAGAATGACTTGTTGAGACTTATTTTGTCTAGCCAAGATAAGGAAACCATCCAAATCTCATACCAAACTTATTTTTGGCAATTATCACTTCACTTTTTGATAGTTTTATTGAGGACACCCAATATCTATAATCCTTATAATGTGAATAAGATATTTGCTCTCAATTTATGTATAATCTAATATTCTTCAATTACGAGGAAGGAAGGATTTTTGCATCTTCCATTATTTAATGAATTCATTCAATTGGGATAGGTCCTATAGTTTTTGTCTTTTTACATTTTCCACGTAACAAAATAATAGCGTCGCTTATAAAGTCCTATTTATACGTGCTAAATATTTATATAAAGGTAATATATTGTATATTCTACCGTAGCAAATTTTCTAGCATGTAATAAACTTGATTTCATGCATTTTGATCTCCTGGATGCACTTTATTACTTAGATTCAATCTGCAAGGGCTTGACTGCTTTCTCTTTTCATGTGCTGTTTCTATATTTATGAATTGTACTAAAATTCTGTTTTATAAAATAGTATGAAAGCTGTTCCAAAAGAAATCCATAGTCTAGAAGATAATTTATGGCTTCTAGGATATTTTGTCATATTATATATATTACTTTGTTTAAATTTAAAGTTGAAATAAGTAAATTTATTGATTGGGAGCTTAAATTTTTAATTAAAAAATTGTGAGTGAAATACTTTTATATGTGATGTGTGAAAAATTTATAATTTAATTGGCTCAAACTCAACAAGCAAAGGAAAAAAAAAAAGAAGAAAAAGAGGAAAAACCGCTCTCTCCCACTCTCAAAGCCTTCGATCCATTAAAAGAGAAAACCTTTCGATCTCCATTTTCTTAGAACCCGCTTTCCTTCTACGATTTATTTTCCTGTTTGCGTTGCAGTCTCTTTCCTTCTGTAAGCAACCAGGGTTTTGGATCGAGCGTGAGCTGTTGGAGACTGGAGTGGGGCGATGTTTAACACGATGATGGATCCGGAGATCATGAGGCTTGCTCAGGAGCAGATAAGCAAAATGCCTCCGGCGGAGTTAGCAAGGATCCAGCAGCAGGTCGTCCCTCCCATCTTCTCATCTTGACATTTTTTTATCCAATTAAGGTTGGTTTTATGCTTTTAGTGCGATTGGAAGCCCTAATGTCATCCATAGGGATTTCCTCGTGGCTAGATTAGCTGGGATTTTTCCCAGGGCATCTTCAAATTTGAATTTTCCAGGATTCTGGTTTTGGCCATCCTGGTAGGGACATGGATTGGTCGCTGTTGGTTTTTGAGTGATTTTTCTGGAATTCAGATATAAATTGAGTTTTGGTGGAATTTTTTTTTTATTGAATTGATAAAGCATCATCTAGGTAGTTTTGTTCATTCGTATATAGCGTTATTCTTTTATTTATGATAAAAAGGATGCATTTTTAGGCAATTTGTCTAAAGAGACTGAGCGCAAGAAGTTCTCATGCATTATCTTGGTTTGAACTTGATTCAAGAAACTTGGCAATGGGCATTTGAAGTATCAAAGTCGTCAATCCCTAACCACGACCCAATTGGTTGTACATTATTACCTTTTACCTTTAGAGTAGAGGGTAGAGGTTCGAGTCTCTAGTGAAAGTAAATAAATAAATAACTTCCATACCATTCTCTTCCTAGTGATCATTTGTGGTCTTGAATATTTTCTTAGGCTTCCACAGAAAACTAAAAGAGGGATTTGGTATATTTATTTGCTTATGATGAGCTGAAGTTTGTGTGTTGACTGCACAGTTTTAAGGATTTAATGATCAATAGAACAATATGAGTTGATGCATTCTAGATCTATCATCTAGGCAATTCCATTAGCACGTAAGATAAGGAAGTATAATGTCCTCTTTTAGTTCATTATAACAATAAATGTTAGGCGGTTAAAAAAGAAAAATATCTTAGGAATACTACACCATAAAAGAAGATCATGGGGACTTAATAGTAAGACCTATAAAAATGCTATCAAGCTATCTATCTTTTATGTTTTTAGTTAGCATATGGTTCTTGAGTTGCGACTAGTTCCTACATTGTTTGGTTCTTGTATTGCAGCTGGTTCCGGTATTGTAGCTGGTTCTATTCGTGTGAGGTTCCTTCAAAACTAAATGTGGTTCTTTGCCTGCAGTTCCTTCAACTATTACATGCGGTTTCCTTTGTGACTTCCTTGCAAGTTTTTTAGCCTTCTTTTTGTTGGTTTTTTTTTAAGGATTGTGTTGCATCCTATGCAGGTTTTCTTATTTTATATAAAAATTCTATAAATAGATAATTTGAGCCATGTAATAGCTAATTTTTATCTATAAAATTTATATTTCCACTTTCAGTCTTGTGTGCATGTTGGATATTTGATTTCATTGAGTGCGATATAAGTACAATTACCTAATTTTGGGGGCAGTTATATTGATGCGAGTAATTGATTTTCATTACTTTGGTAAAGTTTTTTTAAACGAATTTCTTCTAAATATCTTGTTATCAACTTGCTTCTATTCTTGATTTTGTTCAAAGTTGATACAACTAATATTTCAATTATGGTGGAAAATTTTTAATTACTCCTTGTTTTTGCTTGGTTCAGAATTATTATTTTTTAATTACTTCAAATTTATTCAATTGTTGCTTTATCTTTGTTGTTCAATTTCTCACATTTTCTATTTTTCATTAAAGAAAAGAAGTTATTTTGTATGTAGCGGCTTGGATAGGCGAATCTTAATTTTTTTATGTCATCTAGATATATTGCATGATCCTAGTTGAATTAGGAAGCATAAGCCCTAAACCATCTGATGTGATGCAATGAAGGAGTTACACAAGAGTTTTAAAAGAAAATCAAATTTTAGCTCCACGAATTATATAATTATACATCAAAGTTAAGTCAATTAAAAAACAATTCGCGATGTTCAATTTGCTAGGCAAAGAAGCTACAACAAGAGGGCTAAACCATTTAAGCAAATGCGAAAGAAAACATAAAACAACGGCTAGTAAATAAAAATCTCACAATTAATACAAAGTTGTTCACACCTTGAGTCCTTTAACACTCTCTTCCTACGGAGACTAAGCCGAGCGACGGAAGATTGTCCAAACTAGCATGGAGGTTGCCACTAAGATGGAGGTACCAAGGAACGTTGCCATGGAAGAGGATCTCGGAAGCGGAGGAGGTGCGGTAGCACGACCTTTGATCTTCCAAGTGTAGACGGAGAAGTGTTCGTCAATGGAGTCTACAAGCGTCGGCAAGATTCGGTCCAAGTATTCTTCGACGGTATCGTCGAAGTCAAATCCGACGTCAAAGAATTGTGATCACAAGATGTTGACTCTTCCGTTGCGGTCATATTCAAACCCGTAGTTCCACTCGGGTTCGTCCATGCATTCTCGCAAGGGGAGCGAGTGGTCGCTGCAATGACGTCTCCAAAAGAGGGGGAGAGGGGCGGTGTCTTGGAGAGGGGAGAGGACTTGAGCCGTGGAGTTGAAGGAGGAGGGGGGGATTTCGGTTGGGAGGGGGAGGGGAAGAGGTAGCTGCCTTGTGTGAGAGAAGGAAAAGGAAATATCAATCCCAGAATCACGTCAGCCTTGGTTTAAGGAATAAAACCGATTCAATAATTCCCAATTCAGATTTTTGAACTTGGAATTTTTGTTTAGCGGGAGAAAAGAAGTAACTGACATAATAGGAGAGATTATGTGGTAATTATGGGGGTAATTAAGAGAGAGTGGCCGGCCACATATCATGGAGAGATAGGCATTGAGAATTAGAAAGTGGGGCCCACGTTAGAAAAATAATTGTTTCAATCAAATCTGAAATTGTAATTTCAGGTTTGAATATATTTTAAGTAACTCCAGATTTGAGGTATTAAAAGGAATAGGATTTGAATTTCAAAATAAACGTTAATCCCCCTTAATTAACTTTCTTAATTAGATGAAGATCAGTTAGGAAAGTAATTTAATTACGGCAAGAGAAATGGGGGGAGGGGAAATTCTGGGCTGGAAACAGTAAAAAAAAAAAAAAAATAAACGGGGGAGAGAATTTGGATTTCCTAACCTTGCGCACCCCTCCTCAAGATCTCAAACAGATAGCGTAACCATGTCGGAACTCACAAAGAGATCCAAAATATTCTCCCAAGAACTCACAAAGAGAACTAGGGAGTGGCGAACTCACAAAGAGATCAAAGTAGAAAATTTCATTTAATAATTCATTAGTCCTCATACAAGATACAATGGCCATATAAATAGGCTCCAAAGAAAATAAAGTGCAAAAGTCTAAAATGCCCCTTGGGGCTACAAAAGCAACTACTACCCTCAGGGGTAAAATGGGAAACTACGAAAATAAAAGCATAATAAAAAAACTGATGGTACAAGTAAAATCAATAATAAAGGCTCGCAATCATGGCCGTCGATCTCCGTGGTCGTCTCTGATAGACGCGCCGAAATCTCCTATCGATGACCTCATCACCATCCCACATCAAATTGATATTAAAGTTTATGTTGGCATTGCCATGTTTATTAAAAATAGGAAATTTAATTGGGTTAATTAAACTATTTTATTAGTGATGCAATTTAACATAAATAGGGTAGTTTATGGTTTTAGTCAATAATATTAAAATTATTGTGAGGTTCAGTATTATATAACTACTTTTGATGTGAGGTATAATATTGGGGAATTTTTTTGGGGTGAATTAATAATTTAAAAGTTTTTGTTGACTTTGTTATTTTAATAAAATATCTATATCAATATATTTCAAAACCCTCACCCACCAACCCAAATTCCCCCCTTTTTGCATACCTGGTGAGAGACGAGGAGAGGAGAAGAGGAGAAGAGTAGAGAAGAGAGAATGACAGAAGAGGGAGAGAGAAAGAAGGGTTCAAGCTAGTATTTTTCATCATTCTAGTTAAAATAATGCTCTGATCGTGGTAGATAACGTTAACCATTTCTGTTTTCGATGATTTTGAGTTCTTACTATTTTATCTCTCCTAAATTTGATAAAAATATAAGATTTCTTATTTTAGTAAACTTTCACCTTATAACTTTTGATATGTGATAGATATCATTATCCTGAATTTTTTAATAGATTCATATTAAGACTTCATTGGTTAATTTTGTATATGTCATTTTATTAGAAATGAGTAAGGTAATAACTAGTATTAAATGATTTGGAGTTAGTGTATTAAATATGAACATGAAATATATAATATGCATATAATTACTGTTCATTTGGTATAACATGCATTTTGGCATAATACATGTATGCTGATGAATACACTTGACAAATTTATGTCTAAATTTGCTTTATAACCATTAAAAACTCATTTTTTTAAAATCAAATTTTCTTAAGCTTGGTAGATTAATGCGGTATTATAACAACTAGCCTATTTGGGCGTCATTTGTTGTAGCTCCACTTGCTGCGATTCTTTTGCCACCTCTAATCTGCATTCACATCCAATTTATGTGTTGCATGTGATTCTTGAGCTACATTCAAATCCTGTGCCCATGCGATTCTTGTGTTGCATGCAATTCCTATGTTATGTTTGTTTCTTGTGTGCATATGATTCCTTGTGTGCGGGTCCTGCAGTTTTATGTTCCTTAATTACAAGTCTTGTAATGTTGCTTGTGGTTTCTTTAGCGGCTCTTTTTGCTAATCTACATCCAACTTTCTTGACAATTCTTTAGGTTTTTTTTTTTGTTGACATTATCTGCTGATGATTGTGGCCACCTCCTATACTAGTTTGCTTTTCATATCCCATATGAAAATTTTATAAATAGATAGTCTGAGGTGTGTAATTGATAGCTTTTGATTAAATACAAATTTTTTCCACTTTCAATCTTATATGCATGTTGGATGTGTGATTTTTTTAGTGCAGTGTTGGTACAACTAGCTAATTTTGGGGGAAGTTGTCTCTCTATATTTGATATGATGCCTAGATTTTTTTTTTTTCACTTCGGTGAAATTTTCTTAACATAATTTCTTCTATTGTTGAATTTTGCTCAAATTTGATACTGTTAAGTTGCAATTGTGATGAAAAATTTTGAATTGCTCATTGATTTTGCGTGATTTAAAGTTTTCATTGATT